GTGAGCAATTTTAATATCAACATTCACATAGCCACAATAATCAATATGATTCACAGAAATAGGAAGTGACTTTGAATCACATTACGTTAATTTTAATCCCTGTTATACATCCATAATATAATCCTCTTTTACTTGCAAATGTTTTTAACAAAAATCCTGATCCATGGCAACGGTCCCTGTTCACGCCACCATTATTATCTTCTCCTATCCAATCAAACACTCTGATTGGCCAGTTCCTCTCAAGTCCCAACACTCTGTATAATGCACTAAAAAAAAATAATAGGTACAATTATTGTCTCCCATTAGCAGTTTAAACATTCATAATGATATTATTGTATTTGACACAGTCTTTAAAAAAAAAAGAATTTAATAAAAAAGCAAAATTATCGCTATGCCTTTGAGGCTTCTCATCCAGCGTTTATAATTAAAAAGCGCTTTTCTTTTTCGTTTAATTCTACAGTTGAACTGCTCACTACACCCTGACGTCCCTTTTGTCTTTCCATTTCGTTTCAGCGCCTTCTTTACGTACAAACTGTGCATCCTGGCCCCTTGCTACGCCGTGTCAACATCCGATGATCTCGAAGAGGCTAAAAACATTTGCGGTAATAAAATAAAGATTTCCTCGCCGCGTCTTATCTCTGAATAGAGCAGACATACTCTTCGCTATCAACGCAGGGAGAAAAGCAACACACTTTTGGAAGGATAGGAGGATGATCCGGCCCCAGGGAACGCCTTGGGAATTGGGGGGGGGGGGGGATCATATTTTTTCATGCTATTATAGAAAAAAAATACATTCGTGAAAGTGTGAGCTTTAATTCATATTTTGGCCTGCTCCCCTGAATCTAAACTTAAAATGAACTTGACCAAATATACCTTGGGGGGGGGGGGTATGATATTTTTTCATGCTATTATAGAAAAAAAAAACATTCGTGAAAGTGTGAGCTTTAATTCATATTTTGGCCTGCTCACCTGAATCTAAACTTAAAATGAACTTGACCAAATATACCTGAATATGGACCTGACCATAGACATAAATTGGGGATGATTCCTACCCCCCCCCCACCCCCAACCCACCAGCTCCGTTTATATTCATGAAATCGGAATCCTTGCCATTGCATGCTTGCCATGCAGGCTGGTTGACATGCATTCTGGCCATTGCATGCTTGCCATGCAGGCTGGTTGACATGCATTCTGGCCATTGCATGCTTGCCATGCAGGCTGGTTGACATGCATTCTGGCCATTGCATGCTTTCAATGCAGGCTGGTTGACATGCATTCTGACCAGGTGTCCAAGCACAATTCTGTAGCCATTAACTGGCTGATTGTGTTGACTTACCAACCGTTTGGATAATTCCTTCGTTCCGACTGCGGTGAGATCTTATTTTGAGAGGCGCTCACCTTAAACATCGCATCTCTCGATACTTTTATTCACAGCCCAGGTTTGAAACCTTAACACTACCGTGTACGGATCGGATGTCAGTAATACAACTGGGATATCAGCTTTTTTTGTCTGGTATTTAAGAATATAAAATTTTATTTTTTAAAACAACTGGTTTGCTTTTTTCAAAAAAAAAAAAATCTGATTTAATCATTTTTGAAACTGTTTTAAGACTAACCGGAAGTGAACAGCGACGTCAGAAAATTGATCATTTAAACTTTTTTTTAAATTTACTTTCTTGGATTTACTGTAGATTCAAAAACATGGATTTAGGTCACACTTTTCTTTAATGCAAATATTGTTACGTAAATAAATACCCCAAAACAACACAACAATTAATTCAAAGTCAAGATTTTTTTTTTTCAATTTTATGCCGGTTTGGCGTTTAAAAAATAATTCATAAGTTTGGTGACCTTTTCTTTTCTTCAAAAAAAAAAAAAAAAAAAAAAAAAAAAAAAAAAAAAAAAAAAAAAAAAAAAAAAAAAAAAAAAAATTTTTTTTTTTTTAATTTTTTTTTGGTTTTGTGTTTAAAAAATAATTTATTAATTTGTTTAACTTTTTTTTTTTTAAAAAAAAAAAAAAAAAAAAGGAAGAAAAAAAAAAAGGATCATCTAAATGATTCGATACAATGAATTTTATGAATCGACGAATTGGTTTCATTTCTGTCACAACTCATTGCTCTCATTGTTAAGAGGTTTCCGTCTTAAATAACTGTCAAAAGAATGTGTAGATAAAAAGGACAGTGAAACGTTCCATCGGGATCCATTAATTTGTCTATGTCAACGGGTAAATGGACTATCTGACGTGTTCATTGTTGTATTAAGATATCTTGATCTATATTTTAACTTAGCTGTTTGTAAGTCTCCGTGAGGCAAACATTGCTCTCTGGTATGTATTCGTATATGTTTTGTTTGTGGCACTATTCAAAAAGAAATTTAATTTTGATTTTTTTTTTCCTCACTTTCAGATGGTTGCAACGGAATTCGCGTTTCTACAGTGGTCCTCATACTGGCAGTCATATTGAGTTTTAAATTAAAATAAAATACCAGAGCAACACAATTTTTAAGAACACTGAACATTTTTTCAGCATCGAACCAAATAGTAGTCTAACTTAGACGGGCCTCTTTTAATAAGTATTTTATACAAGTTAAATGATTATTTCTATGATCTGAATGGTATTTATGTATATCATTTTAACCTACTTCACATATCTCTCTCACTCTTTTATTCTCCCTCCCTCCCTCTCTCTCTCGTTCTCTCTCAACGTATTTGAAGATTTCAATACCAACATATTTTAAAATGTTAATTATTTTCGAAAACCTTCCTGAAAGGTATATTTTTTTAACTTCATCTTTGTATCATATGATATGATAAGGAAAAAAATTCATGTGCTTGTTTTAAAAACCTAAATTTTGTTCATTTTCCACATTTTTTATATTTTTATTTAATATTATGTAAAAAAATGTAACTTGTGTTTAAATAAAAATTTAATTTAGAAATGTTTTGGTTTATATTTTGTTTAATCTTCTTTTTTTTTATGTTTAAAAAAAGTCTTACTATTACCACCTCAACATCCATACATAGGCCTACATATATATTTGGTCAACTGTAGTATTCCCAACCAATGTTCCCTTAAGCTGTGCAGGCGCCGGGCAGCAGTTTTGAGTACCGTGCAGCTAATTTCCACTTAAGGTTATGTTTGTGTCTGTCCGCTGTCAAATTTGCGCACAAAAAAATTTGATGCTGTAAAAATGTGCACACAAATTTATGCTTTTGCACACGAACCAACAAACCTTAGTGGGAAAAATGTTCCCAACCTTATTGACGCTCTGAGCCTTTTATAGTATTAATTTATAACGGAGATTCCATTCGGATCCACCCAACGTCTTACACGTCATAGGTGTGTTCGTTATCCTGGTGCGGCCGAGGAGCCCCTAAGGATAGTCCGCCGAGGCCCTAATGCTTCGCATGGCACAGACTGAGAACCATTAGTCTAATGAAATGGCGTATTGGGTAGTTGGTTTTGATTTACGATATTCAATCCTTAATGGCTCTACTTAACCGCTGTTTTAGTAATCTCTTTACCAACATCTCATACGTGAATTAGATCTCGCATTTAACACCAAAATTTCGTATGTGAGCTACATTTTACATTATTTACCGACATTTCATATTTAACTTACTTCATACATTAAACACAAACATTTGATAGGTGAGTAACATCACACATTAATTACCAACATTTCTTACGACCACGTATTGAGGGTGTGCCGTTGAACGTTGGTCTAGTTATCCGTTGTCAAGGTGCGACCGCAGAAACCCACCTTATCAGTAAAGTAAACTGATAAGTAACTATTTGACGTCAGGCAGAACTTTTCAACCAAAAAAAAAATAATAAAAATAATAATAATAATAATATCGTCCTATTACAGTGAGTCCCTTTATTTATATATTTTTAAAAAAATGAAGAGTACCCCAAAGAGTCCTTATGGTAACAGAAACACATGACATTTTATGACATTTTATGACATTTTATGACACGTTTTGTTTTAAAACGATCAATTAAAAGCGTCGCCATTTTTATAAAATTCATAGAGAGGCAACGAAATACAGGGGCGTCATTTCAAGGGTTTTCGGGATGGGTATGGATGGGGGGAAATCCAAGAATTGGTCGGCTTGTTAAGTTGTTTATTACGGAGGCGCCACATTACATTGCAATTTCAATAAAAATTGCACATTCAAGGGGGAGGGGGGGGGGAAATACCCCACTCTACCCTACCCAAATGACGTCCCTGGAACTGATAGGATGTAAAAAAAAAATTAATAAATTGCATTTAAAATTAAAATCTTTTCGTAATAAAAAAAATACTTTTTTAAGAAACGTTTTATTCTATATTATAAAGCTGTTCCGTGACTTTGTGTGTGGTTCTAATGTCCCTATTACTGTAAGCAGGTTTAGAATAGTGTTTCCTACCTGTTTCTTGTTTCCCCTGCCAAGACTTTCTAATATTGTACTTTTCCGTTCCCCAAATTTGATTTGCCCCGCACTCAAAAGTAGTTATTAAATAAAAGTAAAGAAGAAATGTAAAGAAAAATAAAATAATTTTAAAAAAAAATCTTTCTCTCTTAATTTTATTTTTCTATTTTTTTTTTTGTTGGTTGTTTTAGACACGAGGGTATATTTTATAGTTATACTAGACACGAGGGTATATTTTATAGTTATACAAAGGTCTTTTGACACTTCACCAATTCTAAGGCGACACATCACCAATTCTAAGGCGACACATCACCTATTCTAAGGCGACATAACCAATTCTAAGGCGACACATCACCAATTCTAAGGCGACACATCCCTTATTCTAAGGCGACACATCACCAATTCTACGGCGACACATCACCAATTCTAAGGCGACACATCCAATAAAATTGAGAGATACTTTAAAATGCGATAAGTTGAGGACTACCGATGTTTGAAATAGAATTTAGTGTCAGGCGTCGTACGAGCCTGTATGGCAGGTTTCATCCCGAAGGACTTGACACGTCCCTATTCACACTTCTTAATCTGAACTGTCAGGGGAAATGTAAAGGTGAAGTCAAAAGCAAGATTCGATCTGAGGTAATACATTTTATAAGTGCTTACTAATTATCTAATAGGGAGAGTAGGAAGACAAAATAATAGAAGAACAAATTAGGCGACACATCACCAGTTTTAAGGCGACAAATCACCAATTTTAAGGCGACACATCACCAATTCAAAGGCGACACATCACCGACTCACACTTCTTAATCTGAACTGTGATTGGAAATTTATAGGTGAAGCCAAAGGCAAGATTCGATCTGAGGTAATAAATTACATTTTTTTATCCTTTTATTATCTAATCGTGAATGTATGAACACAAACATTAGAAAAAAACACTTACTGGTGTGTGCATGACTTTGTCTTAATATTTTATATACCTTAAATTAAAAGACATCTTGGTAAAAAGGTAATGTTAATGTACGCGTGTTTAAACGCCTAGGGTCATTTGGAAAGTAAAGACTCGAAATAAAGTGTACACTCATGGCTGTTTATACTCATCCCCAAAGATAGTAGACCATGACACCGTAACATTATATTACAATGATGTAAATAAAAACAACACGACTGTCAAATGAAATCTTTCAACATTTGTGTGTTCTATGATAACATAGAGTTTATAGAGATTAATGCTTCAATATACGTTAAATTAAACCTACCCATAGTGTCTTTTATAAATAAAAATGTATGTCATTAAATACATTAGGTTCTTCGTGTTGATATTTAAAAGCAAAATGTTATCTAATGACAAGCTGGTATTGCGTAAAATTTTAAATTACATTAACGCATTAATTACCAATGGATTTCCTTAATCTCTATGACTCTCTATCGTGTGTGTGTGCTTGTGTTACTCTCATTGCTTTACGCCATCTGTTTCATCACAAATAACAATTCTTTAGATCGGTGTGTATAGCTGTACCGCTGTGATCAATTGGCGCGCTAAATAAATTTTACAGAAGTTATCGCTAATGGGGATTCTAATAAAGTGCCTTATTTGAATGCATGTTTTGACAAGTAAACTTCGTAGTTTGGTGAGTTCACACATGGCTGCCACCGTCATGGTTTGTTGGTTTACTTTTAGTGTGATCATAATTATTGTGCTGTGAATTTTTTCCTCAGGAGAACGATCAGAGGGACACCACCAACCATGTCAAAGGTGTATCTGATAAGTAAGTTTTAACGTCATTCCATACTTTGAGTTTAACAATGTTTTAACCGATAAGTACGTTTTAACGTCATTCCATACTTTGAGTTTAACAATGTTTTATCTGATAAGTAAGTTTTAACGTCATTCCATACTTTGAGTTTAACAATGTTTTAACCGATAAGTACGTTTTAACGTCATTCCATACTTTGAGTTTAAAAATGTTTTAACCGATAAGTACGTTTTAACGTCATTCCATACTTTGAGTTTAACAATGTTTTATCTGATAAGTACGTTTTAACGTCAATCCATACTTTGAGTTTAACAATGTTTTATCTGATAAGTAAGTTTTAACGTCATTCCATACTTGAGTTTAAAAATGTTTTAACCGATAAGTACGTTTTAACGTCATTCCATACTTTGAGTTCAACAATGTTTAATCTGATAAATGAAGTTTTAACGTCATTCCATACTTTGAGTTTAAAAATGTTTTAACCAATAATTACGTTTTAACGTCATTCCATACTTTGAGTTTAACAATGTTTCAACTGATAAGTATGTTTTAACGTCGTTCCATACTTTGAGTTTAACAATGTTTTAACTGATAAAGTAAGTTTTAACGTCATTCCATACTTTGAGTTTAACAATGTTTTATCTGATAAAGTAAGTTTTAACGTCATTCCATACTTTGAGTTTAACAATGTTTTAACTGATATGTACGTTTTAACGTCGTTCCATACTTTGAGTTTAACAATGTTTTAACTGATATGTACGTTTTAACGTCGTTCCTTACTTTGAGTTTAACAATGTTTTAACTGATAAGTACGTTTTAACGTCGTTCCATACTTTGAGTTTAACAATGTTTTAACTGATATGTACGTTTTAACGTCATTCCATACTTTGAGTTTAACAATGTTTTAACTGATAAGTACGTTTAACGTCGTTCCATACTTTGAGTTTAACAATGTTTTAACTGATATGTACGTTTTAACGTCGTTCCATACTTTGAGTTTAACAATGTTTTAACTGATAAGTACGTTTTAACGTCGTTCCATACTTTGAGTTTAAGAATGTTTTAACGGATATGTACTTTTTAACGTCGTTCCATACTTTGAGTTTAACAATGTTTTAACTGATATGTACGTTTTAACGTCGTTCCATACTTTGAGTTTAACAATGTTTTAATTGATAAGTACCTTTTAACGTCGTTCCATACTTTGAGTTTAACAATGTTTTAACTGATATGTACGTTTTAACGTCGTTCCATACTTTGATTTTAACAATGTTTTAACTGATATGTACGTTTTAACGTCGTTCCATACTTTGAGTTTAACAATGTTTTAACTGATAAGTACGTTTTAACGTCGTTCCATACTTTGAGTTTAACAATGTTTTAACTGATATGTACGTTTTAACGTCGTTCCATACTTTGAGTTTAACAATGTTTTAACTGATATGTACGTTTTAACGTCGTTCCATACTTTGAGTTTAACAATGTTTTAACTGATATGTACGTTTTAACGTCATTCCATACTTTGAGTTTAACAATGTTTTATTGCCAAGAACGCTGAATTGAAGTCTACACGCGTATCCCTTGTTAAAAATGTATCTGAATTTCAAAATGGCTCATAATTTGCAAACGCGACAGACGAAATCGATCATAAATAAAGAAAAGGAAGATGTGTTGTTTACCTAGAGTCCACTGTGCTCTTAACAATGATATGCAAACAATCAAGAAATATTGAACTTTCTTCTCTTTCCACAGTTGCCCTGGCAACAGCCACCCTTTTAGGTAGGTGACCCTATGGCTGGCCTGTAGTTTGCATTTGCTTGCAATCCTGGCGTTATAAATGGGTACTTGTGTTCCCCTATTCACATTCTATGATCATTTAAAAAAAAAAAAATAGGCTCAACTCATAGTCAATTTTTTTTAAAACTTAATTTCGTTGTCAATGCGCTTTGAACATTAACTTTAATGAAAAAACATATGTTTGGAGTTACACAAATGATTGGGATTAGAAAGAATAGCAATGGGAAGAATAGGTCTTCGGTCAATGCTCGAAATGTGAGAATGTCAAACAATATTTTAATGATTTTAATATATATATATATATATATATATATATATATATATATATATATATATATATATATATATACACATACATAGCATCTCTTATATATAGAAAGTTGTTTAAACAGAATATAAAAAAAAATTATATATATATATATATATATATATATATATATATATATATATATATATATATATATATACACATACATAGCATCGCTGTTATACCGAAAGTTGATTAAACTGATTATACTAAAAAATGAAAGATCCCAAATTATTTTTGGGTTATATTACAACTTATAAGATAATTGTATCAGAGGCACAGCTGATTACGGTATCTGAGTTTAAAACAGTTTCAGTCTGCTCTACCCATGCATTTTTAATACAGCAATATTTCAATTTTTTTTGTCTATTTCACAGGAACCGTCAGCTCTCAAGATACAACAAGCCCGGCAGCGAATGGAACGACAATAGCTTCAACTACAGATTGTTAGTTGGGGAACACCATCAACATCTTAGCGTTACACACACTACCGAGACTCCAGTCTGCAGATACAGACGACACATTTAAATTACATAGAAATGGTCCTTTACTAACCTATATTTTTAAGACTGCCTGACTTTCTGAAATCTTCCTAGTCAGCGATACTCTTATTCTTCCCTATACAAAATTAGCACAGTGTCAAAAAGAAAAAAAAAGGAAAATAATTATAAGAGAAAAACGAAAATATAATTTCAAAGCTAAGTCTCTAAAGTGATTTTTTTTAAAATGTATATGTCTTAAGCGTATATCCAGTTCTACGCCAACTAGTAGATATTGCTTATACAAACAAATTCAGAAAAGAAACGATAAATAAGGAGCTAGCTCCTTTCGTAGCGTGGACAGATTCATGACAACCGTGAAACTAAATTACCCGAGTGGCATTGTTTTCTACCAACAGTTCACATAAAAAATGCTTTCTCTAATCCTCACAGACATTTTAGTTCATACACATGTATCAATGTCCGGTATTCTTTTTCGTAGTCCATTTCTAACGCAATTCTGTACTTTAGATTGTTCCGGTTATTTATTAACTGGTTTCCTTAATGAAAGCTGAGTTTGCTTATCTCTATTAATGGATATCATATCATCCATTTTTTTTTTCTGTGCCTCGCGTACAGTGAGCTCCAAGCGTCATATCCAGCAACTGATTGAGCCTCTGATTGACGTCTGCGACGGTCAATGCAAGTCTTACGGGGTTGGTGTCATCGGCAAAGACACAAAGTCTGAAACATGCAGGTCAGCACATGAGATTTTTATTTCGTCCACATACCCTTGTTTTTTATTTATTTTTTATTTTTTTTATTTTTTATTTTTTTTTTGAATGAATTTATTTGATTGTATCTCAACTCTTCATTGTGCAGCAATAACACACTATACGTATTTAAAACACGTATTTTGTTGTGTGCTTGCTAAAACGTCTTTTGACCAAAGCCTCCTCTCCCTTGATTGGACTCAAAAGTAAATGTCCGCCTTTCATTTGGCACCGAACAATCCGATTCCTTTAATCACAGCAGCAGCAGTCTGCAGTAATTATACATAAACTTAATCACAGCAGCAGCAGTCTGCAGTAATTATACATAAACTTAATCACAGCAGCAGCAGTCTGCAGTAATTATACATAAACTTAATCACAGCAGCAGCAGTCTGCAGTAATTATACATAAACAAATAAAAATAGTCCTTGAATTCTAAGCTAAGGAGAACCAGTGAACGGTCGAGAATTTACAACATAAAACAATATTTTTCTTTTAAAGTAGATACCCCAGACCCACAACTGGTTAGTCCAAATTAAAACCTTTACTGTATAGGTTATTGTTGGAGGAGCACCATGGAGAGTAATTATACGAAAGCGACTTTCCACGCTCTCTGTTTTTTTGTTGTTTTTTTAATAAAAAAATGGGCTGGTCCACTGCTTCAGCATTAAACAGAAACTGACCACATTCCCCCCCCCCCCGTAAACAGTCAGGAGGCAATGACAGGCAGTTCCGCCTCACAACATCAAGAACACAGTGTAGGAAATGCTCATTCCTTCCAAAGACAAGCTTTGAAAAGGCACAGTTGAGGTGAAAACACTTCACACTTTTCGTCTATTGCTTCCTGCCTTTCAAACCCCAGGTCCTGGTACCATCGCTGAGCAGGCCTTGCAACCAGTGAGGTATCCCCGTTAAAACCATGCACAGAAACCTCGCGAACCTCCTTTACATACATAGGAGCCAGAATGATCAACACATTAATCGTGGGCCCTCAAGGTATAGAAGAAGAGAGAACTAAAACCATGGTCTTGATGATGTTATGTAACGCGGGTTATCACCTAGCGACGAATTAATTATCAGATGTGAAGCAGGGTATCTGTTAAGTTATGATTCCAGTATATGTTACGTTATGATTCCAGTGTCTGTTACGTTGTGATTCCAGTGTCTGTTACGTTGTGATTCCAGTGTCTGTTACGTTGTGATTCCAGTGTCTGTTACGTTGTGATTCCAGTGTCTGTTACGTTGTGATTCCAGTGTCTGTTACGTTGTGATTCCAGTATCTGTTAAGTTATGATTCCAGTGTCTGTTACGTTATGATTCCAGTGTCTGTTACGTTGTGATTCCAGTGTCTGTAATCGTAAGGTAATTCCAGATGGGAATGGAATTCAACATTTTTTGGGATATTTTGTGGTCGATAAGCGCTTTGTACAAATTCCCCTGATTTAATCATATGTTTATTTCTGTCATTGGTTACTCAACAGCGCATTAGGTGATTTTGAAAACTGCTTATCTAATCGTTGTGATGACGACAGACAACACTGGGAGGGGAAAGTGGATCAGGCACAAACTATATGTGGTAACTATTTCGTTTTATTTCATCCGGTTATAGTGTTGATGTAGGGTATTAATTACTTTTTTTTTTATTTGTTTAGAATCAATCGCAGGCAATAATACATTTTTTACTAGGCGTTGCAGCACAACGGCAAAACAATATGTTAAGCACTTTGTTCTATTGTGAGAAATTAATCTCCTATTTTAAATGTATGGCTCGTTCGAACAGTGCCTAACAAAGGACGATACCATAGAAAAATAAAATAGCAAAAAAAAAAAGCACCCAAAACAATTCCAATTACAATTAATAAGATTTAATTTAGTAATAATACAATAACAAAACAAAAGAAATATAATCATAAATAATCAACTTACAGAGTATTGGAAAATCGTGTACCGGTACACAATTAGTACAATGTAACAATTAATAATGATGAATGCGAATAAACACATATGAGTACACAAAGAATATTACACGTCTCGTGAAGTTAAAAATATCTATGAATCTATCTGAATCTCCGAAACCCCTTATTTATATAGTGGGTCTACCGACGCGTCCACAAACGCCTTTGACATTGTTTACGTTTTTCGTCTAATCGAGAAAGTTCCACACGATAATAGGAGACAAACTAGCCATGTTTAATTGGTAGTCGGCAGTAAACACGAGAAATCAAAGGAGTAAGCCACGCCAATCTATGAACGTAGCGTGTGCTAGGAAGCTAATTTGGGGTCAAGCAAAGTTCACGCACGGGGAAAAGTGTCCTACATAACAAATAGAACACATTGAATTCACGATATCAGTTCATCAGTGAACGTAGGGGAAATGAAACACAGAGAAATGGCGTTGTTGTAGTGGCGCAGGAGCAACACGGCTTAGGTTAAATGGCATCGGTGAAATGGAGGAGGCGAATCGTCACAGTTCAGTATTTCTTGATTATTAACATATTTATAGTCTAGGATGAAAATGTGGCTTGCGTGGTCAAGGGCGAAGTGTAAGGATAATGAGACCAACTTACGTTTAAGATCGAATGAGGTATCTAAAAAATATGGGGCATAGCAGTCACTGGTATATTGTATGCGATTACAAGACCTGATAGAATTTTTATGGAAAATAACTTAATAAAAAGATTTGGTTCGTTGACTTTATACGGCATAAGCCAAACTCACAACTTTTAATTAGTTCCCATGTCTTTTCCCTGTTTGGAGTGTATGTTCTACTTCCATCCAGTTTCTTTCCGTTGGTCTGATCTTTGTCTTCGTTTGGGATTTTTGCCGGTTCTTATTCTTTACTTTCACTTTTAGGCATAGGTGGGATAGAGAATGTATATTATGTACATTTAATTTATAATTATTTTAAACTTTTATTTCCTGTATTGATGAAGGCATTTGGCCGAAACTTTGGATTTTTTTGCGTGTTGATCTTATCATAATTAAAACTTCACATAAATCGTTTTATTGAAACAAATTAATTGTGTCTCATTTATCTACTTAAAAGATTTATCGCAGTCGAACACTTTTAAATCTAAATATCTAACACTTATTTAACATTGTCTTTCAGATGGCTGCAGTGTGCTACACCTCTCTGGCCTACTTGTCTTGCTCTCAGCAATGCTGAGTTTACTTATTTAAAGAAATCCATTACATCCATTGTATCCATCAAATCGATTGAATAAACATTATTAAAAAAATCCCATTCTATAAATATTTGCTGTGAAAACGTTCTTTGAATCATATTTAAAAAATAATATAAAACAAAATCTACTCGAAAAAAACCCACACCTTGAGGTGGCCAAATGAAAAGTGTTTGTTGTTTTATCAAGGTCAGTCAGTTCACCCTCAGGGGCCGTGCAATATACAATGGGAATGTCCTGGCATTTCAACCATTCACCCAATTCTCAATAAAATTGAACTTTTAGATATTAGTGGCGGCATGGATTAATCTGAAACTAAATTATTATTTTTGTTCAAAACGATATTGCAAGCAATACAAGTAACCGATTTTAACTATTGTGTGCTGCGTGAATAGCTATTAACGATATTAAACTATACATTATTTTTAAAAAAAATATATATATACGAATGAGCTATGGTGACATAACACTAAAGAACCGAAACTATTTTTATACGTTCGGATTCTTAAAAACCATCAAAGTTATTTTCTATTATTATACGGAAATTGAATAAATTTACATGCATTACATGCGCAAAAAAAAAAAAAAAAAAAAAAAAAAAAAAATCATATTTCAGCTTTTTTTTAAGCAAAAGTTTAAGTATTATTAATATAAATTAAAGTATATTTAAAGTAACAACTTAGGAACTTTTTAAATAATTTTATCCGAATGTTAAAGTTATGAAAACAATTATAAATCAAAATATTATGATCTAAGAATTGCATCTTAATCACATTAACCGGAAACCCCAAACATATGTTATTCTTCTATTTGAGGGCCCCACGATCAATTTGTTGATCATTCTTATTGCGTATTTAGTGCTTTGTTTATATTGCGAAATAAAAAAAATAATAATTTGATCTAAATAATTACGCAAGTGACGTAGTAACGTTATTGCCTATTTTTAGCCACAGCTCAAAGTTTCTTTGATTTTATAACCGTGCTTGACAAAACTGATAGTGTATTTTTATCTTCTTGAAATTGATTTTTTTTAATTGCTAAAATTTTCTAAAATTAACTATAACTTTAGCTTTGTATATTTAACATTAAATATTTTTTTTACTTTTTTTTCTTTCAAAATATAAACTTTTATGAAATGTATAATGTAGTGAAAAATGTACCCTTTAAATATACTTTTAATACGAAAATGCCGTTTAATGCAATCAGCTTAGGTTTTACAGTATTATAGACACTCTAGCTATAATCAGTTCAGTTATTATTGACATCAAAGGTATAATTAGTTTAGTTATAATTGAAAATAGATCTATAGTCAGTTCAATTATAATTGGCATCATAGTTTTAATTAGGTCAGTTATTATTGACGCTCTAGCTATAGCCAGTTCAATTATTATTGGCATCATAACTTTAATTGGATCAGTTATTATTGACGCTATAGCTATTGTCATTTCAAGTATTATCGACATCATAGCTTTAATTAGGTCTGCTATTATTGACACTATAGTTGTAGTCAGTTCAATTATTATTGGCATCACAGCTTTAATTAGTTCACTAAATATTGGCAGAATAGCCATAGTAATTTCTCTTATTTTTGATATCATAGTTATAATTCCTTACGTTATAATTGACGCTATAGCTATTAACATTCAGATGATGAAACCATAAACTGTCTGTAAACCACTTTAAAAAAAAAAAACCCACTAACAAAAAAAATATAAAAAAAGAACAAAAAACAAAGGGAAAGAATAGAAAAAAGTAAATGATTGATTTGCCAATGAACGAACTATCAATATTATTGGAATCTAACTCACAAAAGTTATCACAGAAACCTGTAACGCTGAAAAAATACAATTCCTCTTTTTTTGAGGAAACTTTGTTCAAATAATAATTAAAAGCAGTCCCACCCACAATATTTTAGCACCCACAAAAATATATATTCATCTTGCATTATATATATTTAAACAGTAACAAGCAGGAAGGCTTGAGACCCATTGTACAACTGCGTCAATGATTCAATTCACATTTTAACCCCAAGCGCTAACAATGTTGTCACATGTTTGTGTTCAGATCGCACCAAATAAACTTTTAAATATGTATTAATTTTATGAAAACAGAACTAAAATTGATGTCGTAGGGCATTGGTAAAAAAAAAAAAATTATTCAAAAAATATTTTTTTTTTTTTTTTTTTTTTTGAAATGTAATAACTATAAATGACCTGTGGAGAAAACTAATATGCCGTTGGGTTAACAGGTTCGCCATATTCACGACAATCCTCGTGATCTCCCTTAGCAGATAATATAAAGTCAGAATGACTTCATAAACATGTGGTTATAAAATGGCTAGCGGCGTTGCGCCACGAATAGCTCCCGTCGAAACGCTCCTGATCTTCGTCATTTGAAGACAACTGTTGAGAATGGAGAACATGAGATCACGAATCGTTCTGATAATGGCAGGCACAGTTTTTCTTAACAGCTTTCAAAGTAAGTCATGTCATGTATGAAACAGCAATATGTGAAACAGCCCTGTATGAAACAGCACTGTATGAAACAGCACTGTATGAAACAGCACTGTATGAAACAGCACTGTATGAAACAGCACTGTATGAAACAGCACTGTATGAAACAGCACTGTATGAAACAGCACTGTATGAAACAGCAATATCAATGAAATAGTTAGGCCTAATTATGGGTTAGAAAAATCGGCAAACAACGTTATTTTTATCATATTTACAAAATAAGCTTAAACAGTGTTTATTCGTATATCACGTAATGAAAATAATTAACAGACGATGGGTTCATAAAATAGACATAAAAAAACAACAATAAGGCAATAATTTACAATAAAAAATAATAAAATTTACTTATTTTTTTTTTAAAGAAAAGAAATGCGGTAAATAAAAGTCGTTTTAGATTTACATTTTGAATCCAGAAAAGTAAAAGAATGAAACATATAATTCCACTTGCTATTAGAATATTTGACTTTAATATATTTTATCCCTTCCAATTTTATAAAGGGTGTATACTTGAAAGAGAATGCGTTGTTATTTATATAGAGTGAGAAACAGAGAGAACGAGATAGAGGAAGAGATAATATTTGTAACTCTAAAAACATAAATTTAAAACAAATAATAATTTATTAATTTTTTTCCAATTGCATGTGTCAGCTCAAGGTCTTGCTAACGAAGAAAGATGGCGCGATTTTTTCTCTGTAACCAGGGGCAACCTTGCAATGGTGCCATTACCGACGGCTCGCTCGGCTCGGTCCAGAGTTGAATGCGCCGTATCGTGTCTTAGGCAGGCGCCATCTTGCCAGAGCTTTCTGTACGACGTGGACACGAATCACTGTGCATTAGGTATTTGCTTTCATTTATATTGTTGTGTTAAGTGTTATAAATTGTCTAGTTCTAGTAACACGAATCACTGTGCATTGGGCATTTGCTTTCATTTATATTGTTGTGTTAAGTGTTATAAATTGTCTAGTTCTAGTAACACGAATCACTGTGCATTGGGCATTTGCTTTCATTTATACTGCTGTATTAACTTTTATAAACTGCCTGGTTCTTGTAACGCGAATCACTGTTCATTGAGTTCGTGCATTCATTTATACTGTTAAATTAACTTTCATACAATTTTTTCTAGCAACACTAATCACTGTTCATTGGGTACTTGCTTTCATTTGTACTGTTGTTTTAACTGTTATAAACGATCTGGTTCTGGGATATTTATGTTAGCGACATCATAACTAAGTGACGTGAAGTGTTTTAATGTATACATCAACGCGGAAGACAGTAAGGCCTTTTTCCTCTGCAAAAGACAATCAAGTAGTATAGTCCAATTACATGTTGTATTAACTTTAATAAACTTTCCATTTCTGCGATATTTGGGTTACCAGCATCACAGCTCAGTGGCGCGAAGTGATTTAATGCAAAAAATCAACTCCAAAGAAATTAGTGCCTTTTTCCTCTGCAGGAAGACAACACGTAATATAGACCAATCACATTCTCCCATTTATTTCATAATGTTTTCTATTCACTGAAATTATTTTTAAACAAATATTTTAGCTTTCATTAGAATCTTTAAAACATTTTCAACATTGTCTGACGTGTTTGAGCTATCATTGAAATATTTTTTGTGTGTGTATTTGTGCTGAGAAGGTTCAGGGATAAAACCATCCGCCATTCCACAAGTCCCAGAGAGTGGTCTCCTGTATTATCCCTTCAGATCATTATGCGTTCACGGCACGGAAAAGTTTACTCTGTTCACTAATGGCAACACTGGGTCGTGTCTGTGGCTGTCAAAAGCTACTAGGAACTATACAGATTCCAGGGCCGCTTGTCAAGGTTGAGATGTAGCTTTCTGTTATTAGTTCCGTAATTTTATTTTAAAAAAGTAGTGATATATAAAATGCGTATTGTTTCAAACGTGAACATAACCTGCTGTATTGAACATTTCAGTGTGATTGTGCTGGTATGTTTATAATTATGATACGTAGAAACATGGGCGCCCACAGGTAGGGGCAAGGGAGGGCACTTGCCCCCTCCCCCCTGGATTGATTGGATACAAATTTTTTAGACAAAAATAGACAAACAATTTATTAAAGTAAAAAGAAAATAAAGAGAAAGTAACTAAGCTGATGTCCTGTCCGTTCGTTCACCATAAAAATACGCTGCAGTAAATTAAACTATATTAAAAAATTACTAACACTTTTTGCCCCCCTCCCCCCTTGAAAGTTAATCGATTTTTTTTGCCCTCCCCCCTAGAAAGTTTTCTGCGGGCGCCCATGCGTAGAAAAATCTTTTGAGAACCTATATTTTTTGTTTATTTAGTGTTTTTTTTTATTTTAAGCTTTTGGGGCAGAAATTTACACAGCTAAGAATCCTGAAAAAGTTCAAATAATGTTGGCCGCCCAAAAGGTGTTTGGCGTAGATGAGGCGTGGATTGGTCTGGATGATATCCAAGAGGAAGGTGTCTTCAGATGGGTCGACGATGGATCCATCTTTAACACAACGGGGACATTTTGGAATTCACGTAAGTTCATCTTAATTCGGGTCAGTCCATGTGGTGGTATGTAAGTTGGGGTCATCTTATTTCGGGTCAGTCCATGTGGTGGTATGTAAGTTGGGGTCATCTTAGTTCGGGTCAGTCCATGTGATGGCAGGTAAGTTTAGAAACCAAACAAAACACAAGTATATTTAAACATTATTTTCTTAAGATTAAGGATTTTCCTTAAGACAAAACCCTAATAAAATTTTGGGTAAAATATATTAATTTACTTAATTTTCAACGTAATTTTGTATAAAAAATTTAAATTACTCGCCTTGGCATCAGATTGTGATGCAATAGTGGTATCTGATTGTGATGCAATGTTGGCATCAGATTGTCATGCAATCGTATCCAATTGCCTCTTAACAAGCTTAATCAAATGATTATAAAACTTTTAACAATGTTTGATTTTTTAGGCTATTCGTTTAAGCATTAATCACACAGCAAACACATTTCATTAATAACTGCATCACACAGCAAATCATTTCTTTAATCATTACGTCCCACAGCAAACGATTTCTTTAATCATTACATTACACAGTAAACAATTCCTTTAATCATTACATCACACAGCAAACCATTTCTTTAATCATTACATCACACAGCAAACCATTTCTTTAATCATTACATCACACAGCAAACCATTTCTTTAATCATTACATTACACAGCAAACCATTTCTTTATTCATTACATCACACAGCAAACCATTTCTTTAATCATTACATTACACAGCAAACGATTTCTTTAATCATTACATTACACAGTAAACCATTTATTTAATCATTACATTACACAGCAAACCATTTCTTTATTCATTACATCACACAGCAAACCATTTCTTTAATCATTACGTCAGACAGCAAACCATTTCTTTATTCATTACATTACACAGCAAACGATTTCTTTAATCATTACGTCAGACAGCAAACGATTTCTTTAATCATTACATTACACAGCAAACCATTTCTTTAATCATTACATCACACAGAAAACCATTTCTTTATTCATTACATCACAAATTAAACCATTTCTTTAATCATTACATTACACAGCAAACCATTTCTTTATTCATTACATCACACAGCAAACCATTTCTTTAATCATTACATTACACAGCAAACCATTTCTTTATTCATTACATCACACAGCAAACCATTTCTTTAATCATTACATCACACAGTAAACCATTTATTTAATCATTACATCACACAGCAAACCATTTCTTTAATAATACATTACACAGCAAACCATTTCTTTAATAATACATCACAAAGCAAACCATTTCTTTAATTATTACATTACACTCCAAACAATATCTTTAAACATGACATTACGCCCGCAAACCATTTCTTTAAACATGACATTACACAGCAAACCGTTGCTTTAATAATTACATTAAGAGCATACCGTTTCTTTAATAATTACATTACACTCCAAACCATATCTTTAAACATGACATTACACCCGCAAACCATATCTTTAAACATGACATTACACAGCAAACCGTTTCTTTAATAATTACATTACACTCCAAACCATATCTTTAAAATGACATTACACCCGCAAACCATTTCTTTGAAGATGACATTTCACAGCAAACCGTTTCTTTAAAAATTACATTACACAGCAAACCGTTTCTTTAATAATTACATTACACTCCAAACCATATCTTTAAACATGCCATTACACATTTCCAGACGTTCATTCAATACAATGTTTCGAGACGTTCATTCAATACAATGTTTCGAGACGTTCATTCAATACAATGTTTCGAGACGTTCATTCAATACAATGTTTCGGGACGTTCATTCAATACAATGTTTCGAGACGTTCATTCAATACAATGTTTCGAGACGTTTATTCAATACAATTTTTTGAGACGTTCATTCAATACAATGTTTCGAGACGTTCATTCAATACAATATTTCGAGACGTTCATTCAATACAATGTTTCGAGACGTTCATGCAATACAATGTTTCGAGACGTACATTCAATACAATGTTTCGCGACTTTAAGATCGGAAAAAGGTAACATTTTTTATAGTGTTAACCAAATAATGATTGAGAGTGTTAAAAAAAAAAAATTACTTTTTTTTTCTAAAGATAATCCTGATAACGCTGACAACATGGAACATTGCGTCGAGTACAACAGCTACTGGTATCCTATGAACGATACGCCTTGTGGCAGGCTGTTGCCTTACGTCTGTGAAATAAATCCAACATCTGTGACATAAATCCAACATCTGTGACATAAATCCAACATCTGTGACATAAATCCAAAATGTTGGAAATAAAGGCTTCTTATGTCCAAAAAAAAAAAAAATACAATATCCCTCTCAAAAAATGTTACAGCTGAACAGAGCAAATTATGACCGCTGGGAATGTCATATGGATCTTTGAAAGTTGTAAGAAGTAATACTGCTAGGAATGTCATATGAATCTTTGAAAGTTGTAAGAAGTATTACTGCTAGGAATGTCATATGGATCTTTAAAAGTTGTAAGAAGTAATACTGCTAGGAATGTCATATGGATCTTTAAAAGTTGTGAGAAGTAATACTGCTAGGAATATCATATGGATCTTTAAAAATTGTAAGAAGTATTACTGCTAGGAATATCATATGGATCTTTAAAAGTTGTAAGAAGTATTACTGCTAGGAATATCATATGGATCTTTAAAAGTTGTAAGAAGTATTACTGCTAGGAATGTCATATGGATCTTTGAAATTTGAAGGAAACAAAAATATTCTTTTAAAAATTTACAATGTCCGTAGAGTTGACAGTATAATGTTACAATAATTTTTGACGCGTTCTTCAAATTATAACAGAAGAAACCGAATAAACCAGAAGGTTATATTTATACGAATTTTTCAAAGCATTTAAAAAAAAAAGTATAATTATAGAATTTTCAATAGAAAAAAAAATCAGTTATATTTATTATATTAAAAAACCAAATTGATAAATATTTTTTTTTTAAAAACATTTGATAGAACAGAATGTGACAAAGACTTTTTGAATTAAAACATCGTTTTTTTCACATTGGTTTGGACATGTGTACGCTTTGAATGGGGTGTCTGTGTGTGTATGTTTGTTTGTGTGCATGTGCGTGTGTGTGCATGTGTTGTGTATGTGTGTGCATGTGTGCATGTGTGTATGTGTGTCCATGTGTGCGTGTGTGTACATGTGTGCATGTGTGCATGTGTGTGCATGTGCGTGCATGTGTGTACATGTGTCCATGTGTGCATGTGTGTACATATGTGAATGTGTGCATGTGTGTGCATGTGGGTGTTTGTATGTGTGTGTGCTTATGTGGTGAAATGGCTTCTTTTTGGTAGGTGTATGTGGATAGCTATCGTATGAATTTGTCTAGTGGTTATACGTGTGATAAAATTCACTCACATAAGGTACATAATCATAATTCTATTCACTCATTCCTTTATAACAAAATATTCCATAACAACATTTCATGAAATTAAATGAAATTATTTCTTGACATGGATTTACACAGAAGTCATAAATGCTAATGATGTAAGAATCTTTTGGCATCTTTTTTTTTAAAAATGTTTTATGGATTATGGAAATCGGCCTCTCGTGATCACTAACATTCATCATAATAGATTATTGCCTTTAAAAAGAATTCGATGTGATCAGACTGTTAAACTTAACTTTATTGATTAAGGCTTAACCTAAAATGGCTTTGATGATCAGGCTTGGTCGATCCAATCGGGAGGTCGCTTCAACGCTGGAAGTGCTTGCTCCAGTCCTCTCCTTCACGGTTTGTCGGGGCGGAAACGGAAGTGTGAAACCACAGCAGTGCGTTGTGGGATAGCCTTTAGTTACATGCTGTGATACACGAAGTCTGCCCAGTGGTATGTCATGGGTGTAGAGTCCTATCAGCACGCGGCCCTATCAATCCAGGCTATTGGCTTCGTCTCCCGGGTGTGTACTGGGTGAAGTTTTTTGGAATTCCGGCCTCAGGGAGATGATCCCCAATCCAGCTGCAAAGGCGCGGGGATCTCTTGCACTATTGCATTACGGCAATCACTCTATATATGAATTGATATCAGTGAAACGAAGGGAGAAACATTTTCGTTAGCCATAAGCTGAAAAATAACGTTTCCAACAATGACGAACTCAGATCGAGGCATTCAAGTTGACAGGAGCTTTGATGACAAACACACGCTATTTGGATGACGTTATTAGTCTATACCGTAGTCTGCGCAAGTGTATATGGCTAGCATTCACGCGGGGCAAAAGGATCTTCTACAGCATAATAACACAATAAACAGTAAAATAAGGCATTCAATAATATGCGTTTGATAACACACATCTAATAATAATAATAATAATAAAGTTTGTTTGAAAAACACGCTTCATCCCCAAAAGCTCGAAGTGCGGTACAAAGTCAACCATATTAAAAAGAGAAATAAAAACAATCTAAAATTTACCACATTTAAAAACAGACGCAACAATACAAAGTTACATACGAGCAAACCCAGTCAAAGTCTTTCATCCCGTTTCAACCATAAGCAACACAAGCCAATCTACAATAATAGCGACATTGCTATCCTTGAGATGGGATAAAAGTCCTTAGATGTCTGTATCTTAAGACGGCCAGCATGTGTCCCAAATGAAAAAACACAATGAATTATACATATTTATTGGTATGAGAACAACCACATCTTGAACTGATTAAAACAAACTTGACTGAAATCGTGATAAAATGTATCCAATCATAAGGAGAGAAATGTCAGAATTGGTCGTCTTCAGAACCACGAAGTAACATTGTGATATCCATTAGCAAAGATCTTGAAAGAATGATTCTAAATTTAATTTGGGGAAATATAGCTGATTTAATATTATTGGTCATCGTCTGATTTCAATTCATGCGCGAACCAAGACCATTGAAGTATAAACCTTTAGAAACGTGGTCGAATTTCCAAAGGTCCATTTTTGGGACCAGCTTCGAGTTA